GCTCATATTAAAGAATATGTAAACCCAACATCTCATATTTCTGATATGCGCCTGCAGTACCATGTACTTGTATGAAAAAGTATCCTGTTCTCTTGGTATTGCTTCCTTTGTGTGAAGTTCCTGGTGTTCCTGACAGTCCCTCTGCTTTCCTATTAAAACTGACCACACTAGGCATGTGAGCACAGCACGGTCAGTTCTCTAGCTGTGCTGGGAACTCCGCCTGCTCTCTTCCAATGATCAGACTTGCTTCTGAAGCATTGCCTGTAGATTGGTGACAATGCTTATGCACACCTTTTCTGAAGCACTCCACAATTGGACTACAAGTGCTACTCTGGTACATCACCCCCAATGCACAGTTCCCATTGTAACATGTCCCTGTTGTATTAGTGCACAGGATGCATTTTTAGAAATCCCTTTTCTGGCAGGGAGTGCAAGGAGATACTGAAAATCTAGTTTTGCACAGTAAGAGTGTAGAACAGAAAGGTGATGTATAAGCACCACTGCAGCCCACTCCTGAATACCAGATGTTGCAGAAAGCAGTGACTACTACTCGGGTAGCGCCAAACTAAGATTGTTTTCCATAAAAAGGAATTACATTTTTTTCATTAAAGTATCATAGCGGTTACCTTTATTCACTAATGTGGTCTTTAATTCTTAAAAATAAATGTTTGCCTTTAAAATTTCTAAGTTAAAGCACAGTTGTACATCACTGCTAAGCAGGAAGTAGAGCATGCAAAGGTAACAAATATATATGGCTTCCCCCATGAACACAGATGCAGTTTCTATGAAAGATACATTTTTTGTTATCCCAGGTGATTAGACTACTTTAAAGTATATGTAAACCCTCACCTTATAAAACAACCCATTTAGTTTAAACAGAAATGAAAACGCAAAACATTTAGGTATAGATAAAAAAAAAAATCAATTTTCCCTATTTTATAAGTGATCACATACCCTCTGCTCTCTGCTGCATAAGAGCTGGAGGAGGAGAAACAGCAGCACACTGATCTTTCTAGTGAAAGGCTGTGTGGGATGGGGGTGAGGGGGCATATCAGAACAAGCATGATCAATGGTGGAGAGCAGACTGAGTTCCCAACATAGCTAGAGAATTACCTCCTGTGCTCACAAGACCGGATCTGGCATATGTGGATAGGTCTTCATAAACCTTTACACTCAATAAAATCAGGCAAGGGGGATTGCAAATTGGCTCTGAGGAAGAGGAAGAGAGGGGGAAGGGGAAGAGGGGAAGAGGAAGAGAGGGGGAAGGGAAGAGGGGGGAAGAGAGAGGGGGAAGGGGAAGAGGGGAAGAGGAAGAGGGGAAGAGGGGAAGAGGAAGAGGGGAAGAGGAAGACGGTTAGAGGAAAAGGGTTAGAGGAAAAGGGGATTCCCCCCCCCCCAAAAAAAAAGCCAATTTTTGAGCGTCTTCTTGTATGTGAGTCTCTAGACTATGGGCCAATGTTGGTAATGATGTGCTTGTGAAATGTTGGCATTTGTGAGTATACATCTGTTACACTAAAAAACAAAAACATTTTTATTGAGGTAATGCGCAAGGCTTGTGCGCCCTTTTCCTTTTCTTATTTTGTATACCATGCTGTGCTCCCATGACTAGTGTAGTCAGTTTTTAATAGGAAAACAGAGGGACTGGCAGAAACACCAGGGATTTTACACAAGCAATACAAAAAGAACAAGTGCATGGTACAGCAGGCACATATCAAGAATATGAAATGTTGGGTTTACATATTCTTTAAAATCACTGAAGCCAATATATATATTTTTTTTAGGTGTGGGAGAACTGGAAAGGGTTAAGACCAGTCATAAGTACTTTTTTATGTTCTAGATTTCCCTTTGTCCCCATTGGGCAAATTTCGGCTCTCTTCCTGCTCCCAGCAACAGCCAGTTGCTATCTTAGATAATATGGTTAACATACCTGCTCTGACCACTATTGTTCACAGTAGCATAAGTGACACCCAAGCTGAACATTACCTCCCCATTCCACTCACATGAACAGAAATAATTGGCGCTGTGGGGTTCTCCTGTTTATATATCACTAGCAGGTGGTTGAGCCACTTATGTGCAGGTGCAAACTCTGTCTGTAGCATCCTAATTCTCAATCAGAACAGAAGGGAAATTAACCCAGAAGCTCATTGTCTGATAATAAATTAGGCCACGTCATTGATCTATGGACACTTAAATAGTAAAGACAAAAAGAGGGCACACTAGCTTAGTGCATTATCTTGAGACCAATTTATTGGATGGGCATCATTTTAGTATTTGGACTGGATTGATTCTATGCTTGCAGTTGTGCACGTTTGTGAGTATACTGGATTTATATTATTTTTTCGTGGTTTCACAATAATGCACTAAGTTGGTATGCCCTCTCTTTTTATGCTATTGTTTTGGGTTTTTTTAATAACCATTGTTTTTATTGAAGTTATAGGAGATAGTACAAGGCTTACACACAAGTATTATTGTGGAAAGACAAAAGGACAAACACAGTTACAACATGCAAAATGCAGAGTTATACAATGCTTCATTTGCATGACCTGGAACAACAAAAACAAGAAAGTCAGCTTAAAGTGTAAGATAATGCATAACTCTTAGTAATGCAAGTGGGTACACTAGTGCCAAATCCTGCAGGCACTCCAGGTATGGTGATAACCACATAGCTCTTCTACAACCTCTTCGTGACACCTATGTAAAACAGGAATTTGAAAAAAAAGGCATATGTAAAAAAACTTAAATGCTTGCTGTGCAGTCTAGGTGGATCATGCTCTCTTTTTTGTCTATGTTTTATTCCGTGTTTCATGGATATACCCTATCTGAAGTGGGCAGCAAGGCCAATATGTTGCAGAGTTCCTCATGGTCAGTTTCTTCCTGAGTCTGGTGAGAAAAGACAGGAGCACTACCTGAGACAGTCTACGTAGACTCATAAAATGGAGGTTCCTGTTCAGCTGTAGCGCTGATGGCTGTACTTTGCACTGGAACAGTAAGGACACAACTCACTACCTATCAACATCAATAACAAGTCTTCCCAGTGTCCCCAGAGTGCAATGTTTTGGCTGAGACACATCTTAGACAATGCCCCCCAAATTCAATGCCCTCTACACTGGAAACACAGTGAATAAAATCTTACGTAAATCAAGAATGTCATGTCAGCTTGAAAAGGAAACAAGCATGAAAGCAGGATAACAACCCCCCCTCCCACACACACAAAAAAAACAAAAAAAAACAAAAAAAAAAAAAAAAAAAGGAAAAAGAGGGAGCCATTAGTGTGTGTATAATCACACCTCTATGGGCTCAGGAACACCAGCCTTTGTAATGGGTGGAAGTGGGCTGAAGAACTTTGGAGAGAGCAGCGAGTGAAATCCTGGTTAAAAGACATGATTGTGCAATTTGTTATCCACTGAAATCTGAAGTCCTAAAGTACAGCTTCAGTCTTTAATAATGCAGTGCAGGCTGCATATACAGTAAAAAAATAAGTTTGTGCTGTAAGAGCACTAGAAAGCCAAACCATTGCTTTCTAAATGCAGCTGGCCAGGTTTTCAGTGATTCTCCCCTCACTGCTGCAATTACCAGCTCTGCTTAGGAAGCAAAAGCACTTATTAATTAAGAACACTGTGCCGGGGTGCTCGTAGGGCCATTGGAAACGTGGGCTGCTGTATTAAGCGTCAGATCAGTAGCCTGACTCTCCAGTGTGGTGCCAGCAGTGGGTGGAAGACATTTATTAGTGTATATGCAGCCTGAATGAGTTGCAATAATAAAAGCAAAAGTTTCAAATTGGCTTTAAACATGGAAAATTTACAGTGGTTCTAAAGCCAAGACATTTTATACCTTAGTGCATTCCCTGAATATGATCGACCAACACAATGTACCACATAATTGTGAAGTGGAAGGAAAATGATAAATGGCTTTCAAAATGTTTTACAAATAAGTATTTGAAAAGTGTGGCGTGCATTTGTATTCAGTCCCCTTTACTCTGATACCCCTAACTAAAATCTAGTGGAACCAATTGCCTTCGGAAGTCACCTAATAAGTAAATACCTCTGTGTAATTTATTCTCAGTATAAATACAGCTGTTCTGTGAAGCCCTCAGAGGTTTGTTAGAGAACATTCATGAACAAACAGCATCATGAAGGCCAAGGAACACAGCAGACAGGTCAGGGATAAAACCTACCAAGACATGGCTGTCCACCTAAACGGACAGGCCGGGCAAGAAGAGCATTAATCAGAGAAGCAGCCAAGAGGGTACACAGAGAAAAGGAGGCGATGAGAGTGTTGGTAGACCCCAGAAGTGGAGGTTCGAGGCCATGCTGTGCAATACTATTGCACAGAGCATGTATAATACTTTTATTATTTTAATAAAATATATATACACTTTACAACCACTACAAACTATAAGCTATAACAGGGTTGCTGCGTGTTTTTTCTTTGTACCTATGCATGCATTTGATGCGTGTTTTACGCAGTCGACATGCACTTTTCTATATGCATTTTTCCTGTGAGGTCACTTTCTTCTTTCTTTCCTTGGACTTATTTGTGCACTGCGATGCATTGCAGTGTGCTTGCATGCGTTTTTGTGGTTCGACAAAATGCAGCATAGTGTACTTTTCTGCAGTGGTCTGAACTATGCCCACAGGATAGCCTGGATTTTGGACTATCTAGGCAGTTGAAGTGCAGCTCAAAATGCAGCCAACTGCATTCCACTGTGTTCGGTGTGAAAAGGACCCCAAGTCAGAGGTACTTACTGAAAAGCAAAATAATTCTGAAATTATGCTGCAGTGAGCACAAAAAAACTGAGCAGTTGTAGCATAAAAGCTGCTAGGTAATGCTGTTCAAAGGGCTGTTTGGTGGGGATTCCAAACAAGGAGACAGTAGGGAAACAGCAGTAGGGAGGTGCAATGACAGGTTTTGTAGTCTCCCTATTTCACAGATAGACCTGGACTAAAAGTAACTTTGAATTATGTTATTTACTGATTACTCTGTGTTTTCATACAGGAATCATGGTGAGCAAGGAGGGGGAGAAATGTGTGCTGACATCCTCAGAAAGTGAAGCTGAACCAGCTGTTTCCTTAGCCTTAGAAATGAAATATGCATTGGACCCCAACCGGCAGATCAAGAAGAGGAATAAAGCCCTCCAAGTAAGGTTTAAAGATATCTGCGAAGCTCAGAACGAGCAGAGGGATAAACAGCTTTCAACAGTGCCACAGAGCGAGAAGAAGGAAGGCAGGTCTCTTTCTTATAAAGCTTACCGGAAGTACATGACAGTGCCTGCCCGACGGTCTATACCCAACGTTACCAAGAGCACAGGGGTTCAGACTTCACCTGACCTGAAAAAACGATATCAGACTTTTCCGCTGGACCGCAAAAAAGGAAACATGTTAAAAAATGCCACGGGAGCTGATACAATGAAGGGCCAGAACAATGGATTTGTAATAGAGGTCAAGGATACAAAAGATCACAAAAGCTCAGGGGAGTCCAACCAATGCCGCAGGGTCGGTGAAAGAGTTGTCGCTGATCTCATGGTGCATTCTAGTGAAAACATGGATGTTGTCCCATCAAGCAATTGCTCAGATGCATGTGGAAGCACTGATTTGCACAGCTGTACTAAAGAATCCCCTCCTATTCAAAACCCAGCAATCTCAACTTTGGAACAGGCCATCTGCCATTTGCATGAACCCACCAAACACGACAAAAGGCCATTGGGAAACACGCAGTCCCCACCACCCGCCACATGTTAAGGTGCTTCTAAAAGAAGAAGCCACCATCCACTCCCCTACACTTAACCCAAACTTAACAGACCCCGAAGACTTGAGTGACATGGAGCGGACAATCTGTCCGCTGACGGATGCAGAAGACAAAAGAACTAGTCATCTTAATGGCTTGCAAGGCCAAGATGTAAACCCTAAGGCCTGCACGGCACAGTCACAGTGTCAAACGACGGAATGTAATGAGCAGGCCCTGCAGATAAAGGTTTTACCCACGGATAAAAATCAGCCTTGTCAGTCGACGGTTGCTTTGAGTGATGAATGCCAACAAATCGTGCCTCACACAGAAGTGACAGACTTAAAAGCACAGCTTCAGACCATGGAAAACCTGATCAGCTCTAGTCAGGAAACAATTAAAGTGCTTTTGGGTGTGATTCAGGAGCTGGAGAAGGGAGAAGCTCACCGAGAGGGGTAAGTGATATAAATGACTTAACGGTCACTTAAGCTGCATAATGATGTATAGTGATGTATCGCTGTTATTATAACATGACATTCTGCATGAGCTGAAAAAGGGCCATATATTATCAGTGTTTATGGACTTAAAGGAAACTTAACACCAAAAAAACATTATACTACTGTAAATTGTTAATAGCAAAGGGGGAGGGTGTGTTGGTGGTGTCAGATAGCTGAAACCTGGAGATTGATTTGAGATTTGCATGCTTAAATGTGCCGATCTGGAAGCTCTAGGTGGTCCACCAGAGATATATATTGCTCATAATGTAAAGGTATGTGCAGGCACCCACATCACTTTCATCACCATCACATTACTTGTGGTGAGAGGTACTTCTTAAAGTAAACCAGTCATACAAGGAGGCTGCCATTGTTGAGCTCCCCAAGCTTTATGCAAGTATGGACTTATGTCACTTCTACAGATTTCTTATTCCGCATAACTGAGCAAACAGAGCAACTCAAAATATTAACATATCCCAAAACCGCTAATTTTCTCCTGCTAATTACTTGTAAATGGAAGCATGTAACAATGATTTCTATGTTGTCTCAGTTTGTTCTGCAACACTTTGGTCTGGTCTCCCATGTGACAGATCCATCTTAAAGGACCACAAAACCTAAAATGCAGTTTTGTAAAGAGCTGCCAAGAATAATCACAATTGATGCATGCAGAACTGCCCACCTTTATCACAGAGTAATATTAGACCATCAGGCAACTAGGCTGTGTGGCAAAAAACTGGCTGGAAAATAACAGCAATTCTCTATGGAATTACTGGACAGGTGGTCATATAATGCCCTTTCCAAACGGCTTTATTTTTAAATACTCTGTTCTGATACTTTCCAGAATTTTACACATCTGTTCATGAATGAATCTTCTTAAAGTGGGAAACTGTTAGAACCTTTGTTGGATTTTTATATTCAGAGTCTATTTATTGTGCAAATTTCAACTTTATGGCCTTGTTTAGATGGGCATACACCTGTGCGACAGCCTTGTCTGCCCGCTTGGACATGCTGCAGCTACCAATCTGACATCCATGTGGATGCGGGTACCTGAACTCACACTCTTTGAATGTGTTAGTTTACATTGTGGTGGTGTTGTGGTGTGCGCTGAAAAAAGTAGTGCATGCACCATCACCTCAGTGAATAGAATTGTATTGAAATACCACTCAGGACATTTCAATAAACGTTATGTCTCATGGCACACGCAAAGGGCTATGCGATCAGCACAGCTCATAGGTGTGAACAGGGCCTTTAAAATGAAACTGCAAAAATTGTCCTCATTGTGCAAAGTTTAAAAACTACAACAAGAGTGCCAGATCAGATGGTAAAGGAGTCCAAATTGCATTAACAGTTCATCATATGATCACATAAAACATCCAATGCATTTCAAGGGCCAACAACTCTTCATCCATAATTTAACCAGGCTTAAATGGACTTGGTAAAATGAAAAGTCTGATAGATCTTTTGACTGCTGGCTAAATGCGTACAACAATTTTGCAGTGTTTGTCAGTTTACACAGAGACAGCAAAGAGCCATTTCATGCCTTTGCTTAAACAGAGATGAGCTGAACAACTGTTCTGGTCAGTTACCACAAATCTAAAGATATATCTGATTATTATTTTACTGAGTCTCTCTATGCTTTGGTAAATTAGTTCACTGAGCCTTGATGAGAGTAGTGTCATTGGCTCCTGAAACATGTTGGATGTTTTATGTGAGCAAATGGTGATCAATTAAAGCAATTTGGACTCCTTTACCATTTGGTCTGGTGGTCCTGCTGTATATTTTATTCTTTGAACTTTCTGGAATATACAGAATGTGTACATACGATCTGCATCCACTCAATGTTGTTCTTAGCGATCTATCACTGTATAGTAGTGAGAATCATGTATGGTGACATCTCTTCCAGGCTACACAGCTCTGCAGGCAGATGACTTGAACTTAAAGGGTTAGTTGAAAAAAAAAAAAAAAAAAAAAAACAAAAAGTACAAAAAAAACTGCCTTTGCAGGTAAAGGGCTCCTGGGGATAAAAACAAACTATGCAGGTTTGGAGAATTTTAAATAATGCTGGTGCTATAGATGTAGGCCATTTTCGTGCCTCCAGAAGCCTGGATGTAAAACTAAGAGAGATGGCATCATTCTGTGCTGCCTTGTTTCTAGGACATTGCCAAGATACTCCTGGCCGATTCAAACCCCCTTCTACATCTCAGTGATACTGCAATGGAGGAGATAGTGGACCAAACATGTGGGAGTGTGACAGCTCTCTCCTATGATGTTGGGGGTGAGCAGTAATTGTTGGGAATCTTTTAGCAACAAGGCAGGATGAGGCGACTTCATCTCTGGGCTTTTTTTTTTTTTTTTTACAAGGTTTCTGGAGGTAGGTATGTAAATGGCCTGCACTTATAGCAACTACATTATCCAGCTTTAGTCAAAGCTGCACAGCTTGTTTTTATATACAGACACCCCTTATCTGCATAGGTAGTTTTTTGGTACAGGTGAACTAACGCTCATATTGATTGTTTCCCTGTGTTTGATGTATGTTTCAAATACAGGCCATCAAAATCCCACTGATTTAATTTAGCAATACACATGGCAGTTCAGGGGTTGTGTTTGACCTGCGTTTTAATACACTGTGTTTTGCAGCTAAACTGCAGGCAAAGCAAGTCCATATGCAGCCTTTTTATTGTTAAATTTGACAAGACCATCCATTGATGTGGCCCTAAGGCAAACTGCACAGAAAACAAAGAGAGATATACAGATATATTGATGCATTAAAATGTTACTGCAGCCAAACCATATTTTCTAGCTCTGGAGAGAATGAAGAAGTTATTATAACTGGTTTCATATTGCTCGAGGAGTTAAAGAGAAATTAAAAACTTTAGAATTGTCTTTAGAAAAAAAGCAAAGAGGAAATCTTCCATTGTGAACACATGCTCTGGTGATAACGGTGAATAAGCGTGTTTTTTCTTAAGGGAGAAGTAGAGTCAAAGCTTATTTGGCAAATGTGCAATTTGTTCTGAAATCCTGGGACTCTTCACTGAGCCAGTCTAAGCTTTGAATAGATCCCGACAGGACCAGCAGCTGGCTCAGCAAGCCACAGAGCCTGAGCCAACCGCTCCCACCCCCTCCACAGCCTGGCACTTCATTTAGTGCTGGAGGGGCAGACCAGAGAGCTGATGACCGACAATTATTGGCTCTTTGCTCACTGAAGACCGAAAACTGAGCGACCAGAGGTCTTTGATCACTTCGTTCTCGGTCTTAGAGCAGGCGGGAGACAGATGCAGCATTGGACCAATGTACTAGGTAATTATGTATGTTTATTTTAAATTCATGAACTTTTCTTTTAATTTGAGAGCATTTCCCACCATTTCCTGTTGTGTCTCCAGAACAGGAACTGAGGGGACATCCCTCTAAGGACACAAACAGCAGAAAGAAAAAAAAAAAAATAAAGTTTTCTGGCCATTGTGCCAGCTTACTTTAAACACTGGGTCAGTATAACAGCCAGGCAACTAGAGGTTCCACAAAGAGAGGTTAGAAATAATAATTTCAGTAACTACTCAGTATAGGTTTCCTTAAAGATGCTCAATAACTGAAATGACTGAGACATCTTTAAAGCAGAAACTAAATCCACCTATCCTTCACAGCTAAGGAAGCTGCCTTCTTAGCCTAGGTTCACACTGTAGAATGTTCGAGAATGCGTTTAAAATGCACGTGTTCCTCTTACCTACAGGCAAATCATGCTCTGAGCAAATGCGTGGGGGTGCCATTAAGTCTGAATGGCACCCATTGGAAAAGAGCACGTTTTTGGGTGCATAAAACCTGAAAATTTCCCTCACTTAAAGCAGTTCTTCAGTCCTTTTTTTTTTTTTTAAAAAAAAGTGTAACTGCTGACTTTTAATAATAGGCCACTCACCTGTCCCACAATCCAGCGCTGTCTTCACCAAGCTTCGCCCCCCCCCCCCCCCACGATGTTGGCATACTAACTGTGGGCAGCTGGCTGTGACTACTTGCGACTTCACAGCTAGCTGCTCACTGTGCATGCGCCAGCCGTGCTATGTTATCTGAATTTTTCAGCAGCTTTCTGGGACCTGTGACATGTCCCAGAAGACTGTGGGGGAAAACAGGGGGGCTGAACTTCTGCTTGGATTGCCACGGGGAGGGGGAGGAAGAGCAAAATGTTCCCTTTTTGGGTGACATTCCACTTTAAGATTTCCTTTAACTTCCTATTGCATCTCTGGAAGTGAAAGGGACATTTCCCAATGAAAACCAACAGGAAAAATAAAATGACAGGGCTTTCCAACTCTATCCCAAAAAATATAACCATTGGCTATACATACACTTTAACCATTACACAGCTTGTTGCAAATGATATGTATGGTTAACAATTCGTATATATAAAATATATTTATTTACACACACAGTATACATATCTCGTGTAAGCCAGCTAAGAACATAAACGGAATATGGCCACTGTGTTTATTATACTGCTCTGTGACCATGAACATTGGAATTCCCTGCATTATATGACAGTGGTTTATGTAAAACTGTGCTTTGGAACATAGCACGCTTACAGCAGCAATCTTATATACGAAATCATTAAATATTTAAGGCACAGAAGAAATGTTAATCCCTAAAGCTATGCAGTTTTTATTCAATGTTGCCTAGGCGGCTGTCAATACCGTTAATGTGGCCTCTTACCGAGATTTCTTAGCTTCATCTTTTAAGGGGCTGGTCATTTACAACCCAATATTTGCAGACTTTGCACAGTTTCAAGCTGTGCTCAAGGTGATCAAGTCATGTAGAGGTTAACACTCAAATTATAAGGAGTCCTTTCTAGCACAGAATTGCTTGCTTTCACATATACAGATTTTCCAACACAGTGGCAAATCTGTAACAGTATGTCAGTCGTTCCCATTTTCCCAGAGATTTAGCGTGTGACCGGTTCATTTGGCCTGGCCAAACACTGT